TTCATCACAGTCAGGGTTAGAGCTGATGTATGAGGCAGGAGGGAGCCATGATGGTAGATGAATGACATCTTTTAATTAAATTAATCTGGCAACATTGCAGAGGTGAGACTAGGAGAAGAGTCTGGAATCATTAAACTTATTGTATTGATTCATGTCTGTGGTGCTCTCTGGTGGTCCATAATCCTGGTGGGAATTGAGAAGGCTCCATCCAATTTAAAAAGGGACTAGCCACAAGAGCGAGGAGAATTCAGATGTTAGAAATTATTTCACAAAGTGCTATTTTGTTCCTCAGTTAGTCCCTTCCCTCTCATGTGGTTATTTATTAAATCATCTCAGATATTTGCTGCCGCTGTTGATGTCCCTAGACTGCTTAACATTTTGTTGTCTCATAAATGATGGTCTCCGTAACCTCTCCCCATCTATACTTCATTTTTCCTTTTAATCTTAAACTAAAGATGTGCTCCTCAGGCACTCTGTTAATTAGAATCTCGGTGGCGAAGCTCACATAGTGGTGTTGTAATTACTTCTCTGTATCGTCTTAATTTTTTCCCCCTTGTTCCCACCTGAAAGTGAAAATATCTGTTCAACCTCTTGATCTCAGCAATTAGTTAAGTGGTATGCAGCTGGTTATCTGGGGGGTGGGCTCAAACATTTAATCATCTCTGCTCAGGTCTGAATGGGAATCTTCTTGAGAAGCAACACCTGTAATTAGTGTGTAGTTGCAAGAAAGTGCTTCTGTAACAGTGGCTCTCAAAGTTTGGTCCCCAGACAAGCAGCAGTATCTGGGAAGCTGTTAGAAATGTAAATTCCCAGGGCCCCACCCCAGCCCTACTAAATCAGAAACTCTGGAAGCGACCTGTCAATATTTTAATAAGCCTTCCAGGTAGATGCTAAAGTTTGAGAACCACTGTCCTGGAGAAATATCTCTACTAGGTTAAGCAGCCAGACTCAGGGAGTTAGGAAAACAGACTTCAGAAAACACCAGGGGAGTTTAGAGGCTGAGAAGAGAGGGCAATTACTACCCTCTTGGTGATGATGCAGATATCCAGAGGAACACCTGCTGGAAGTGAGTTTTTTTGTCCTTAGTCCCTGCCCCTTGAAAGAAAACCTGGCTAGCCATTGTTTGCCCTGTGCTTTGGAAAGACAAGGTCTTAAGTCAGTTTCAGGAAGGACTATTGGATCTTCCCGCTCAGGGGCCTTCATTGGATATTATATTGTTAAATAGATGAAGGAAGAGATATATTTGCCATTCTGAGTGCGTCTCCTTTTCCTCTATAGACGTCTAAATACTAAAGATACGCTTATTGGATGGTCAAGAGGAAATAAGACGACTCTCCTACACTGAATATTTAAACCATAAGCAGCTCTTTATTGAGGTTCTTTTGAAGGTGTCCCAATCATAGAGTCCTGGTGAAAACACTAAACTTGCCTAAGGTTTTAGTATCACATTTGACCCATGGGCTGTGGGAGTCTAAGAATGAGGAGTCCATCAGCTTACCAATTATCTTGTGTCCTCTAATTGGTAAGTCATTAGTTTCACCAGGAATAATTCAGGGAAAGTCCATTTACTACTACCAGGATCAGAACCAGTATCCCTATTTCAGTTCTTAAAACTCCCCTTTTTTTTTCTATTGGCAACATATATCCACATACAGCCTATTCGGATGTGGGCATGCCTTGTAAGAACGGCAATCCAAATTTAAGTGTGTACTTTGGAGTCACTTTCCTTGGTGATAAAAAAAAAGTGATTTCTTTTCTAGCTCTTGAAACTTCTGTGTATCTAAACAAGGAACTCTCTTATTGTACATGAGAAAGAGAAGCAGTTTGTATTTCATTTTCTACCCTACAATGAGCATTAATCATTAAGATAACAATCTCTTTGGGAGGAAAATAAATCCTGGCTGATATGGCCAGCCCTTTTATTGTTAAATTATATATTTTCTTTTTATAAGATCAGTGAACTTCTCTGTGGGTTGTTTCCATTTAGGGAATGAAATGATGGGGCTTTAGAATCTCCACTCTGTGGTCTCTGATTGTGTGAGTTTGTGGACTGCAGGCACTCAGAAGATTTATCTCAGAGGGGATCCTGATAAACAGTTCTATTGCCACTTGAGAAAACTAGGCAGGACATTTCTCCTTGGACTCTCGTGGCAAGCAGAAAAGAGCTAGAAGGGATAGAAAACAGATTTCCCCATCACTCTGGTCCTACCTGGGTCACAGAGGCTGGGCCTCTTTTATCCCAGAGTTTTCTGCTTCTCTTCATCTCTTAGATCTTAACAGGGCGTATTCATATCATTGGCAAGCTTCAGCCAGAGGACAAGCTGCTAGCACCAGCAGCATAGTGTACTCCTTTTCTTTTTTCAGCCTAAAGTCTAGGACTCAAGGAATACTATGAAACAGTGGTTGAATCAGTTCAAAATTTTTGGAAGAGTATTAAGGAAAAGGTCTGATATGGTTTCAGCTCTGTTCTCTGTAAATCAGGGATGCTGTTGAGGTGTGTTTTCAACACAGTGTCCTTTAGCAGAAAGCCCTCTCATTGCTGCCTTTGCATATGGGCAATAGAGGAGGGAACAGCGGGAATTACAAGGAAGGAAGGGATCAACGGGAAGAAGTTGCTACAGTCTGATTCCTTATGCTCTTTTGAACATATGGAGGAAAAGACCATTTATGCTGAACCAAAATATCCTCAATGGCATTGAGCTAACATCTTTTCCCCCACTATCCCATTCCCTTCCACAGCCTAGCAAATGTTTTACCTATGAGATACATTTTAAGTTTACTACAAAATTTACCACAAAGGCCATGGAATTAATGGGAGCTAGGAAATTCACAGGACATCCAAATATATTGTGTGGGCAATAGTAAGGTTATTGTTTGACGTTGGTGAAGTGATAGTGGGTTTTCCATAGTAGACTTGGGAACCAAGACTTTCTCTCTGTCCCTTTGCCTATGACTCTCAATCCTGATGAATATGAATTTAAATGCACAGTTAAGTCACTACTGGTACAAGTAAAAACATGAGTGCAGCATTTACCAACAGAGCTTCCCATCCTCACTCTCTTGATCACTCTCTTACACACACACACACACACACACACACACACACACACACACACCCATTCATTCATCGGTAGCACATCATACCAGTGGCTTATGTAGCAGAGAGATGCACTGTCTCTTCCCTTGGAATCTATAGTGGATTTCTGGTCAACCTAGTTCATGTACTTCTTTTCACTGTGACTAGAGAAGCTAAGAACTCTGACACCTGTGGACCTTGTGGGTCTTGTTTTTGACATGAAACAAAACACCATCCTGGCTTGGGGATTGCAGAAGTGTCTCTTATTAACTCTAGGACTGGATTTTCCTTTTTTCATTTAAATTAAAACCCAAGTAGGGGAGGAGGTAAAGAGCAGTGGTTAGCTTTTGTGCTCCTCACTCCTTCCAGCATTGGACTAAGCAAATTCCATGCTGTCTTCCCTCCCACTTCCCCACCTTATCGAAAACCTAGGAGTTGTCATTTCCTTTATAAAAGAAATGTTTTTCAGCGTTTGCGTTTCCTTTAGTCTGCTTAGTTGGTAAATGCAAATGTAGATGCCCCCCCCCCCCCCCGAATGCTTGTCTGGAGGTTTTCCCACCTATTTGTGATTTAGGAGATGACAAAGGGCATGTTTGACTTGTAATAGAGATGAAGAATGGATAAATCAGTGCATGTAATATGATTGGAGAGTCCCATAGACCGACCCACCATGCCTCTATGTGGGCCCTGCATTCCCATACTGCACAGATTCCTGCCTGTTGAACAACCAAGCATTGTCCTCGCGGAAGTACAACTATACTAACTGGTATTGTGTATAGCGATTTCCAAAGTGGTGGTACTCGGAAATCCTCCATCCTGCACTTCTCAAGCTAGCCCTCTCCTGGCCACGTTGGTCCACGTTGCTTTCCATCCAGGGAAAATATTTTGCTTCTCCCCATACTCCCTTCCCCTTTCCCCACCTCATCCACTTTATGTTTCTGGCCTGAGTGTTACCATTTGCTTACTGATAACAGTCTACTCTGAATTTTCATTCACAGCTTTGAGATGCTTATGAGGCTTTCCTGCTTCCCACCCAGCCCCAAACTTGGGACTTTTCACACACTGATCCTCTGATCAGTTTGACGCGGGAAAGCCCATGGAAGCCATGTACCAGTTTGTATAGTAGTACCCTTTTAAAAAACTGTCTACTCTTGAACAAAGTAGAGTGTGCTGGGGGTTCGCACTGGCTGCTTGACACACACAAAGCCAATTAACTTGCATGCCAAAAAAAAAAAAAAAAATTAACCCTTAGAGTACTGCTCCAACATTTTGGTTTAATGGTCTTGAACTTTACCAGCTGGGCAATGTTTCTTTCTCCAGATCAGAGTGCTATACATCAAGTCCGTACTTAGTCTAGCCAGAACATCAACCAGGATCCTCTTCTCCACAGCTTTCCTGAGATGCTCCTGGGTCCTTTATTATTCATCAACCGATGGCTTTCGAGAGGTCTCAAGCACAGCCACTGAGTTTAACTGAAAATGGGCTCTACTTCTAATGTGCTGGAGGGTGTGAGGGACTATTTTGAGCTTTGGTATATGTCCTCTAAAAGAAAGAAGTCAGTTCTTTAAGGGTTAATGTGAAATTAAGGAATTTGATGGTCTCTCCTGCTTGTCCTTCCTCCAAGGTATCTGCATGATCCTTTTTAGATTCTTAGCTCAACTGTTGAATGATATAAAAATAATATATATATATATATAAATATATAATTACAAAAACAAATAAAAGAACAAAAGACTGAATGGTTGAATGGAAAGACCCCTTGGCCATGCTTGCTTGATCATCACAGAGGGTAGAAAGACCAAATGTTTTAGTCAATGAAGATTCATTTTGTCCTCTACCCCAAGCACCAATACCACACAGTATGTGCAAGACATGATGATGCTTTTCATTTACCTCTTGCTTTTTTCTTCTTCCTGTCTAATAGCCCAATAGAGTCCTGCCAGAATTTCTACAAAGATTTCACATTACAGATCGACATGGCTTTCAACGTGTTCTTCCTTCTCTACTTTGGCCTGCGGGTAAGTCTGATCCCCACAACTCAGTATCATCATGGGGCCACTTGTACCCAGGGGCCATGCCCCACGAGCATCTGCTCTTGCAGAGATGAAGCCCAGTGTTTCCAGGGGGGACAACAGACCCATAATCTGATTTTCAGTCTCTGAGAGAGTCCTTTCCTTAACTTCGCATTTTCAGAAGTGCATGTTAAAATCTTGTTCCAAGGAGGCGAACAGGGATTGAAGTAACTATTATACTTCCACTGGCCGACTGTTTCTCATCTCTCTAAATGCAAATGCATTGTTGTCTTAAATGGAGAAAAAAAACTTCTCTTAAAATTATGTTTATCGGGGCTCACTTAGTTGAATCCTGAGAGAACAGTTGGGAGGCTTGAATCGAGGCGGTAGTTGGTAGAATTTGGGGGCTTGGAGGATTTGTAGTAGAGCCTCTCTATGAGGGGAGCTGTACAGAATGTGTATTACAGAGATTGTGTGTACAGGGGCATGTGCATGGATGCGTACATCTATGCTTTACTTAGGTTATATTTCCGTTAGAGTCTAATGAAAGTGAGACCACTCAAACTTTCCTATGATGCGATTGAAAACCACAGGAAAACAGATTGCCTGATATTTCTCCAAGGTTAACATAGGCTACAGTCATTCTCTACAAGAGACTGTATAACCGAATTCTAAGACAGAAATAGCCTGTGATTGGTGTAGATATGAGAAGGACATAACATCTCCCTCCAGGCCCCTGTGAAAAACCAAAACATAGCCTTTGGCAAAAGCATATACTTCGAATGCCAGCATCGTGCCTCTCATGTTTTTCTCCTTTCCTCTCTCCCCAGTTTATTGCAGCCAACGATAAGCTGTGGTTCTGGCTGGAAGTGAACTCTGTGGTAGATTTCTTCACGGTCCCCCCAGTGTTTGTGTCTGTGTACTTAAACAGAAGTTGGCTTGGTAAGTCCACCTCTCTTCCTTTCTTCCCACTGGTTCCCAAGCTGTGGTGGATCAGAGGCCTGCACTGTCCCCACAGAAAGAAAGTTTTGTGTATTCGTGTGCACAACTCCTGGAGTTTTGGGAGGTGGTGGTGACAGTTCTCTTTGGAGCACTCAGCCAGGAGGCCGTGCTGCCTAGTTAGGGCTTCAGGGAAGGCAGTTTTATCATAGTTGAAACCTAGCGGTCATACTCTCCCAGTCAGGACCTCTGCCTCTGTGGTTCTGTCATTTTCATTCAACCTGCGGTCAGGACTGGACAGAGAAGCCCGTGGGGACGAGGCCAGATTTCCAAGCAGCTGCTTCAGGTGCCCTAGAAGGCCTGCCTGCCAGACTGACTTCTGTCCGCTTCTTAGTTTTAAGCAGAGTGGGTCCTGCCTGGTTTATTTATGGTTATGAGTTCCTCTGTGGGGCAGGGGAGCATCAAGCATCGCGAGCCACCTTCTCCGTGAAGGAGATGGAGCCCCCTCCTGTGTTAAAGGATGACCTTTTGCTGGTGCTGTGTTCACATCTCCCCTGCTGTATCTGCTCAGCAGGTCACTTCCTGCCTCGGGACCAGGACACTTTGTTGGGAGAAATAACTAGCTCGGACGATGGTCATGGGAGCCAGGGACAGAAAGAGGCAGCTTCGAGCTTCTCTTGGTTGCACTGAATAATTCTCTCAGAATGTTCCTGCTACTGTGGGTATACAGGGGAAAAGGAAGGCTGAAGCAAGACCCAGAGGACTATTTCTGGGTTCCTTGCAATCATGCCTTCTCCCTGGGATGCTCAGTGTTAACGGACTTCCATCTTTCCTTCATGTCCCTTTGCCCCAAACATGGATGCACATAGACATGTTGGAGCGGTGGTGGTCTTCGTAAAAATGAGTGTGTCCGTCACATTGCACTGCAGTTTGGTTTTCTTACTAACAAATGATGGGTGTCCCTTCAGCTCTATAATAATTCATTTTATTAGTGTTACACAAAATTCTACAAATTGTTGTAGCTTGGTTCCTCCGGCCATAACCCTAAGGATGGACCACCTGATGGTTTCCTTTTTGCACTGTGAACGGTGATTTAGTAAACACCCTCATCCACATATCTGTAAGTTCTGTTTCTCTAGATGGTTCCAGGTTCCTGGAAGAGGAATTGCTGGATCAAAGAATGCGTATATTTTAGTTTGTACAGATATTGATGGCTCATTTTTCAAAAATGTTGTGCCAAGATATGCTTCCCCTAGCAATATGTTTTTGATGTCCTTGCTAGCTCTGTGAATTTATTATATGCCTAGTATCAAGTATTTAAAAAAAGAAGCACCCTTTTTATATGATGTATGCAGTAATCATGTATGCACATATCAGTGCGTATCTGTGTGTGTGTATGCCATAAAGATTCTATTTTCGACGAGTTTTCTCATTAGAATTCCATTCACTTGCTCAGTGGAAAAGTTTTCATCCTTGATTTAAGACATGCTTGCTTAGATTGGGTTTTCCAGCCAGCATGATGGGACTGTCAGAGCCACTCACAAATCTTGAGAAGTGTTCTGAGTGTGACCTGAATGTGCCCTGGTGCTGAGGGTCCCAGCTACCTCAGCTGGGTTGTTAACTGGCTTTGTGACCAGAGGAGCTCACTTTCCTCCATTCAGCCTGTTGTTTTTCATCTGTAAAATAAAGGTTAGGTTAGATGATTTGATTTTTCCAGTACTTTCAGCTCAGGATGCCTCTAAGACTCTTGCATTGTTCATGGGAAGTTTGGGATCTAGGTTGTGGGGTAGGACTGGGAAGTTAGTGAAATCAAATCATCAACATTTCTGAGGCAAAATTACATATAGGCTGCTAACCAGGGCTCGTCCTAGACCATCCTGTTGTGAAGAGTATACAGACATGCACACACACCCGCGTGCATGCACACACCCTGAAAAACTCCAGACAGACAAGGAAAAAAGAAAGGGGAAGAGGGAAGAAGAGAGCAAGAGAGAGGGAGGGAGGAAGGAAAGGAAGAAGGAAGGAAAGGAATCTGCCTTTTCTTCCCGCCTGTGTTCTAATTACTCTGTGCACTACAACAACCATTTTGCTTTTCGGGACCCTCAGTTTTCCCTTCTGAAAAATGGGAGGTTTGGACTTCAAATACCTTCTTGTCTTCACATTTCAGGAATCGGAATTTTATGTCAGGGTCCATTCTCTCTTGGTCCCTCGTGGTCCTAGGTGATTGAGGAGACCCCTTCAGGACTGTGGTGGAGACACCCCTCCTGAGCAGCAAGCAGGTCTCGCCCCGGCTAAGGGTGTGTCAGGAGAACTTGGATGTTAAAAACTCACGTCTTTTTGTGAATGATTTAACCCTGATTTTTGGCGTTTGGTGTTCTTGTCTGGTGAAAATCCACTAGAGTGAATAGGAAAAGAAGAAAAAGGAAAAGGAGGGAAAATGAGATACACTCTTACATCAATTGTGGTTGCTCTTCAAAAAATATGCTCTAAAACGTGCTTCAGTTTGTTGATTAATTGAACAATACTTATTAAGCACCTACTATGTGCCAGGCACTTTTCCGGATGATTAAGAAACAACAGCGAATAATGGGTCGCCTGGGGGGCTCAGTCGGTTGAGCATCCAACTCTTGATTTTGGCTTCGGTCATGATCTCAGGACCTTCGGATCGAGCCCTGCTTTGGGCTCCACACTGGGCGTGGAGCCTGCTTAAGAGTCTCCCTCCCCCTGCCCCTCCCCCCACTAAAAAAAAAAAAAAGAAACAACAGTGAATGCAATAGGCAGCATCCTACCCTGTGACATTGCAGTGGGGGGAGAACAGGAAAAAAACAAACCTAATAAATAAGCAAATATGTAGTACATTAGGAAGCATAAGTGTGTTGAAACTGAAAACAGACCAACAAATTTTGGACTATGAAATAATAAAAATAACAACAGGAAATAACCTTTCTCCTCGTATAGGAGAAGGCACCTTCAATGAAATACTTTTGGTTCTTTAGTAACTAAGCCTCTTGGGTGAGATCCACCCCTGGGCTGTCTGTTACGGAAGAGAATTCAGTATAATAATATTTCAAGGAGGCTCCTGTGTCTGATTTAATACACGGGTTATTACATCATGAAACAATTATTGTGCCCATGAGCTGCCAGAGATAAAATGAACATTCCCACGAGGTATGGCTTACAAAGTAGAAGGAATAATCCCATTAGGTGGGGGCATTTCAGGAAGTGCTGCCCTCCTCCTGGAAAATGAAAAGGTGCTGCCTTTACTGGCAGAGGTTTGGTATAAGATGAGGAAGCTGCAGTCAGTTCTCTTCTCTCGCACACACCTGCTGAGCCCTGCGTAGCTGAAACCATGCGGGTACAAAACAGAATGAGTGCCGCCACCCCCACCCTTACCTTCTCTGGAGCATAACACCCACCACACTTGATTTCTTATCGTCATATATAGTTGCATATTATATAGCATAGTATTCATGTACTTTATTGTATATATTCTCTTAGTGCATCTGACGGCATATTACCAATAATAGCTAATTCCAGTTCTACTATGTGCTGGGCGCTCTGATAAGCCCCTTATACACATGAACTCACTTAATTCTCAGAGCAAACCTGTGAGCTGGGAATTATTTTCCCCCATTCTGAAGATAAGGAAACAGGCTCAGAGACGTTCATTCCTGTCCAAGGTCGCATAGCCTGGGAGTGGCAGAAGGGGTGATTTGCCTCCAATTTGGTCTGACTTTATGTCCATATTCATGCTGCTCTTCTGCCTCCATCCTTACCCTTAAAAGATTGGGGGGTTTGAGGACTGGGTTGGGATGACTGAGCTGGTTTTGCTCATTTCTGTTGGCACCCCTCCATCTCTTCTTACTCAGAGAGCTTCACTTCAGGCTGGCAGGGAGGGGAAGAGATCTTATTTAAGAACACACATCCTCATGCCTCCTCCTCTCCTTCCCACTTCTCCTTGTCCACCTCCAGTTTCTAGAGTTGCCACTAGGATCCAGGAGACACAGAGAGCTTGTGTGGTGTCTCCTGATTCCCAAGGTAGCTTAGCACCTTGGCGATCGGATCTGCTGGACCTGAGAGAGAGGGAGAGACTAGGGGCTTCCACACATGCGGTCAATAGAGTGGAGTGGGTCAAGCCAAGCTCTGGGTTACAACCTCAATTCACAGCTTGGCTTGGCCAGTGGGTCACTTTGAGCAAGGTCATTTTACCTGTCTTAAACTCAGTTTTCCACCTGTCCAATGAATGGGGGTAATCATAGTACTCACCTCATAGGGTTGTTGAGGGGATTCAGTGAGGCAGAGTCAGTGAAGTACCACGTACATAGGACGAGCTTCATGATCATCCCGGACTTGTCTTTCTAACCTACCTATCATATTTTAAAGTACTGAGGAAGAAAACAAACCAGAACAGAACCAAAAATAAGGCAGTGGGATGTGAGGACATCCACGTCGGCAGGCGGCAAATCGCTGCTAATTTTAATTCCTGTTCCCACACACCAGCTTATTCATTTTTGTTTCTCTCACAAAATCCTTATCCTACCTAACTAAAATAAATGTACCTTGAAATGAGAGATGTATTTTATTTTGAGACTAGAATAACATGCTCTGGGGAGAACTCTTCTGTCTGTCTCCTTTGGGGAACTGTATCCCCAAGGTAGGTCAACAGGCTGTGCCTCCTTTGTGTCTTGATTTATGTGGTTTTTGTTGAGGGTCATTGTGTGTGGTTAAGAGAAGAGAGTAGAGAAAAAAATAATAACGCGCTTACTGGCCACTCATCTCACTAGCTTTTATTGAGCGCTTACTGTGTGCTCAGCACTAAGATGAGGGGAGCATGTCTGGCCACCCTCTTTCCTAGTCTTGCTATGATTTCCAGCCTTGTCCCTCTTCTCTGGCTAATGAAGTCAGGGGATGGTAAGGAGCCCCAGACCTTGAACCCGGGGTGGAAAAACTGTAAACAGTAAACCTACCTGCTCTTGTAGCCCCTGATAGACTTTAGTGCCTTC